ATTTGTCTGAAAGTATGAAGATGGAACATGATAGTTCGGATAATTATCAGTAGATAAAAAAATATGGCTTATTTATGTCTTTAAGCATGTATGTAGTTATCTTATACAGTAAAACCTGCTAATGTCACCACTTGTATAAAGTGACTACTTTGAGCTGGTCCCTTCAGTGGTAGCAGATTTCACTGCAGAGAGGTTGCGTCCAGCATTTCCATCAGGAAAACGTGTATGTCGGATGTTGAGCGCCGCATTCCTGTAAGCCTAGAAGTTTGACAATGGCGTTTGGAATGTCGAGCATGATTCCACTGACTTCCAAACGCCATTGTTAAACTTCTAGGCTTACAGGAATGCGGCGCTCAACATTTGACATACACGTTTTCTCAATGGAAACGTCAGACGCAACCTCTCTAGTTATTATTCTAAGAAAGTAATGATAACTGAATACTCAATTTAATTTAAGAATTTTAGTTATTTTGTATTTAATATTTACTAATTACTACTGATAATATATAATGTTTTCAGTGTTAGTTTTTTATTTCTAATTTTATCCACAAAGCTCAAAATAATTCTATTTTATCAATATTGCAAAATGTTAAAATAATTCAAAATTAAAAATGTCTTTATAGTGATATCATAATAAGTAATCAAGATATAACTCGTAGATCATATCTTAAGTATTATTGTCATGTCTTGATAACAATAAGTAAAAACATATTTGACTCATGAGAATAATACCATTTATCAAAAATAGTTTCAAAATCACAATCACATTGTAATATATAACAATAAAAGTAAATATCAAATTAATTTTAAATATCATTTTGTTGCAAGAAACATTTATATTATTTCAATAAATGTAGTGTGTCATAACAGACTGAAATCAGTTAAAAATAAAGTGATAACAAAAATAACTCAGTTTACCAAGAAATTGTAGTAAGTTACCTTAGGTATAAACCTTTTCAAAACTAAATTAAAAGGAAATAATTTTTAAAAAAAATTAAAAACCAATTTTCTCAATTAATTTCATATATAGAATAACAATGAAAGTCACATTTTACTAATAGGCTTATTTCTCTAGGACAAATTTCTATTAGGCTTCTGTAAACAGCAACACTCAAAATTCAATTCAATATCTTACAGAAGATATTATAAATGAAATATAATGTCACCTCCTGCAAACAACACTAGAGCCACTCCATATATATGCAATTCAATATAATTTTCAGTTATTTAGCAAATAATTGTACTCAATACATTGTGAACAACTTCAGGAAAAAATAATTTATAGAAATATAGAAAAATTCTAACTTCTTATATATTAAATAAGCTTTGTAAACATTCAAAAATATTCATATTTTAAAAAAATGTTTGAAATTTTGAATTTTTAAATCACTTTTACCCAATTATAAACATTGATTTAATTCTTCCGATAATTTACTTGTGTGATATGTAACAAAAACCAGCATGGAAATTTCTACTTTAAAAGATTTGTTAATATACTATACATCTAATAGATTTAAATCTTTATATATATATTTTTTTAGGAATAAGATTTAAAATCTAAACTTTAAAGCAAAATACAACAATATATATCAATTTTCCAAGCTAATATTTGTGTAGGACTATTATTTTGAAGTTTGTATCTACAAATATACACGCTCTTAGACGTACCCATCCTATTACATATATGGAAAGTAGTTAATACAGTCATCCAATAAACTCTTAATCAACAAAGTGAAAACTTCAAATTACATATCCGACATCAATAGCAATTTACATGGTAATATACAAATGTATTTCATAGACAATTAACCCACAAGCATCATACTTCTGAAAAAGCTTGATATAATGAGTGTAAAATGTAACAATCATTGAATGAGGAAATCAATGTTATATTTAAAGAACAATTCAACTACCTACTACTAGGCCACAGTTGATAAATATGATACATTCCACACCTGTTGTTCAAATGTTAAATACCTATTAACAATTTAAGTTTAAACATAAATTATCAATTGTAAGTAAATGAGGTTTGTTAGAAAATAAATAAATATTGTACAGTTTCCTAATTACTTGTATTCATCAGTGAATGTTTTTAAGATATAAATAAGAGAATAAATCGAAATTAGTGGAGGAGAGAAATATCTAACGAACTGTCACTCGGACGGAAGTGCAGATTCTAAATATTTGTTAAAGAAACAGAGATAAGATTCCCTTTCTTAACAAGAATGACACTTGGTAGGGAAAAAAATAATTCATTTACAAGTTATAAAGCGAGTTAATCCTTAACAGAATGGTAAATGGTAGAAGAACGTAAGAGGCGGAAGCATATTTAATTAATTAAAGTATTAATAAGTGAATTTTTTAAAACAATTTTCACACGGATTCATCAAGTAAGTCACTCGACTAGGCCTAACTTATTTACGTTATCGTAGTGGATAAAAATGTTTCGTACTTACATTATTTGGTGATGTAGTGACGATGGTTTCATTTATTAATATATTTAATATATTACTTTTCACAAATTTTCATAAAAATAACAAATAAATTCCTCTTACGAATCCATCAACACTAACACAGTATCGGGCGACGAACGGACGAACGACCGCATCACAATTAGATCTACGAGTATTCGTTCGCTGCGGTTGTTGCGACGACGAGTATAGTAAACGTGTGAATAAATATATTAACACAATTAAAACATTTTTAGAAAAATGATCGGTATATGTTTTAAAATATTTTAAATTTTAAATGTTTTCCTTTTTTAAATCTTTCTACGTTATATAATAACCGTTTGGACAGATCTATCTTTCGGTGTGTGATGTTACACTAACTGAGTGAGTGACTGATCACACCGACTGGCGGCATCGAGTCTGGCTACCGACACCCAAGAATACTCACTAAACGGACAACATTCATCCGTCCATCTCCCTGTTTAGTCCCTGTTTGTTGGTGGGGGGATAAAACGGCAACGAATGCGAATCAACGGTGAGAGGTCAATCACTCCGTACTACATCATCATCATCATCACCGTGCTAACATAAAAATTGCAATCCCATCCTCTATGAGAATTCGAATAAAGGTGCGCTCGTAGATGAACTCCAGATTAATAGGTTAAAGTTTAACACTAGAAGAATTTTCTATCCTGTTATAAAACATCTTAAACAGAATAGAGACTTTAATTCCTCTTTAAAGATGAGTCAAATGCTATGAAAAGATTGAAGAGAGAATCAAAGCCGAATTCATATTTTTTCAGCAGGTTAATTAATGGATATTGTATATTAGAACTAGTGAAGAGAATTTTTAACAATTCTTTCTAACTAAATTAAACGAAAACAAATATTTAAAAAGTGAAAAAAAACAAACAATTTTTCATCGTAAAGTGCGTTTTAAAATGTAGATGATGACGATAAACGTACAAAAAGTTTTTTTACTCGTTAAATAACGTATAAAAATGATTTTGCTTGCAATTTACATTCTAAATTTAATATCATATATCTAATGCTAAAATGTTATCTAATATATCATAATTAAATCGTATTAAACCGTATTCTTTTCAAAGATTTTGCGATATTTACATTGTTCTTATTATTAAAAAAAATAGTATAAAAATTCAAATTTGAGATTATGTTGTTAGAAAATAAGGAAACCTTACATTTTTAATAGTATAAGTCTATTAAAATATACAAAACTTATGTATATTTAGCCTAGGCCTTACATATTTTTAAACATAGAAAATCAAAAATTTATCGTAAAAAATATTAATAACTAATTTAAAATATAAACCTTTTGAAATGATTTATAGAAGATTTATAATTCTGAACTATAACCTGTTTGTCTTATATAATTTATCACATTCGCATTCTCATCATCAATATTCGATTCAAAATAATTAAAATACAGTAAACAATATATAAAATATGTTATAAGCTAATAGAAAAAAATTTTTTAAAGTTTTTTGATATGCGAAGTGACAGCCAACTGCAGGTCAGGAAAACAAAATTTATGACTATCAGCACTATCCGGCCAAGTAATGACTGTTGTAAATTCTTATAATAACAATGTCCGCTGAAACAGAGAAACAAAAAAAATTTTTTTTCAATTATTTGTGATAAATTAGAACCTTTATATTGAACTATAATAATTTTATGATACATTCTATCTCTTATATGTATTTTTACATATATTTTTTTCATTTTAAAAAAGCAAAAGATAAAGTTTGTGAACATCCTGAAAGCCATATTAATTTTTTTTTACCTTTGTCTGTATACTGTATACTGTACAGTACTTGGCAAATATTTTTGCATTATATTTTATGTTGATTTGCTTTATTGAAGGTGAAGGTTCAGATTGAATGAATATTATTGATGCACATAAATCTTTGTAAATATATAAATATTAAATAGGAAATAAAACTTTCTAATAAGAATTTTGAACCGAAAAATTTAAATAAAAAAAGAAAAAAAAATCGATTTTATAAAACGTCAAACAATATTGTATGTAGATGAATCTTCAACAAATTTGACATTTCTGTCAAGCCTGTCATTTTATACAGATGTCCATTGTGTCTCCTGTCACATATTATATTTTGCATAAAATATGACAAGCTATCTAAATATATTCTCATCTCTAAGCATGCAGTTACGTAATTGAATGCAGTATAAGAGATATTTAAAATTTTATAAAATTAATAAAATTGGATTTGCAAATCTAAAAAAAAAGAAAAGAAAGAAGCGCTGTTTTACGAAGCTATAACTTTTTTTTTTTCTGTTTTAAAATAAGTTATTGTTATTTTCTATCTTTTATTCTGTTTAAAAATAATATGTACAGAATTTTTCTATATTTATTTTAGTCATAAAAGTCAAACCCATTTTCTTATCTACATAAACGCTTCATACAAAATAGCCTTCATTATGAAAGAGCGTTGCGCTTATTCATGATTCCTGAAAACTCGCATTGTATGGATCCCTCTCCACAGGATATAAGTTTGAAGATAGATAAAAATCTACTCAGAATATACTAATAATCCCTATCTGTAAAGATATCAAATTTATTCCTTTATGTCCTCTATTTGCATTATAATGTGTTTTATTCATGTGATAAAGTTGGAATATTCTCACGATTTTAAACATTAAGCACACAGAAGGAAAGTCGTTCAATATTTGTCTTTATGTTGTAATAAATAAATTATTTCAAATCATAAAATAAAATTTAAACAATTCCAATAAAAAATTAAAAAGATTATTTTTAAAAATGTTGAAAAGAAATAAATTATTTAATTTAAAAAATTGCTATAAAATAAAACTTAATTTCTAAAATATTTAAAGAAAAATTAAAAATTAACAGAAAAATTTTGTGTTGTGTGAAATATAAAACAATTTCTCAAAATATAAATACATTTTTATAAAATTTTAAAGTTTTTTTTAATTTAATTAAAAATTTATCATAAGGAAGTTTTTAATTTTAAAAACGGTTTAAATGTTATTTTTCTATTTAACTTGTAAGAAATTTCCTTAAGGATATTTCCAAAAACAAACAAAATAAAAATAAAATAAAACGTATGACTTCATTCATAGAATCGAAAAGAAAAAAAAAATTACTAAAACAGGAATTCATTATACCTGTAAAAAGAATAAGGAAAATAATTATAAAATTATTTTACTTTTATAACATTTAGGAATACATGTAGATATATAAATTAACTATGTAAAAGATAGTACAACTTTGATATAGGCTACCGCATTAAAATATTCTTTGAGAAAGAAAGGAAAAAAAAGCTTTATTATGATTTCTTCAAACGAAGTGTACTTAATTCAACAATGAAAGATAAAAAATAAGAAAAAACAGATTTGATTTATCTTAGTTCAGTCGTTTCTTTTATTCAAAGTAATTAAATTCTCATTTATAGGTCACTGCTAACTTATTGGGAAGTCAATAGCTACTTGTGATAATTATCCCATAAGCTAAGATGGATGCAATGATTGTAAGAGGGAGGTGCCCTAATTACCTCTTCATAATCAATTCTTTCATTATTAAAATTGTTAGAAAATATATCTTTACATAAAAAAACATTAAAAATAATCAATTCAAATAATTAAAATGAAAATATAGAATTAATTCTATGATTTTTTTTAGAAAGAAATACATAAATGAAAGATAATTGTAAATTTTTTTCCACTCGTGAAATACAATATTTGTTCAAACTATTTGTTAGAATAATATGTACTGTGCATGAATATTATCAATTTTTTTTGTTGTTTTTAATCATATCTGTCATAAAATATTCATTGAGTTAAAACTGATTTTCTTAAAGTTGTCCTATGAATATAAAACTGATCTTCGTGAAATGAGATTATGGTTTTGATAACATTTGTCAAAATCTATCATCGTTAATTTAAAATATGCTTATTTATAATTTTGTTCAATTTATGTTCTAGGCCCTTTTTCTTCCATAAATCATAAAATTTAAAATATTTACTTTTATATAATTATGTTTAAATAAATTCATTGACGTTTTCTTTTTTCTTCTGTTCGTCTTTGACCATTAAGCATTATCATCTTAGGTAGACTATAGATATTATACTACCAAAACAAACGTTTTGCACATTTTAAATAATTATAAGAATATTAAACTCATTAAAATTATTAAATTTTAATCAAATATTTTATTTTTTAAATTATAATTTCTAGTATTTATTACATTTATTTTTTCTATTTATGCATTTGCTTACAAATAAATGCAAATAATATAAATCTATATTCATTTATACAAAACGCACTTTAATCTTTATAAGAAAATTACTTTAGTTAATATCATAAAGTTTTACACAAAATACATATTTTAAATTACATTCAAGATATTAATTTAATATTTTTCAATAAATTTTACTGATAAAAAAGTTCAAGTATTTGGAAGAAAAATGACTGGAAAAATCTTTTCTGACACGAGTAAAGAATATTGCATAGTTAGTCCATCATCAGTCAAAATTTCATAATTTTCTGTCGGTTGAGAGAACTTAACGAATGCATATCATCATCAAAATTTTGAAGCCATGAGAAAAAAATAATAAAATAAAATTAATTAAATGTTTCAGAATATTTACGTCGGGTGTATATACATCTAGGCTAAATTTTGGTGATTCATCATTTTTGTTTTCTATATAAACTCGTACTGTTGCTGTTCCAGTTAAAGGAGGATCTCCTTGATCTGTAGCTCTGACTGTTAAAACATATGCATTCGTAATATCTGCATCAAATCTCTTATTGGAACGAATAATGCCTTTATTATCAATTGTAAATTCATCTTTATCTATAGAATATTCAATTTCAGAATTTTTCCCTTGATCCACGTCAGCAGCAGAAACTTGTAAAATTGAAGTTCCAATTTTTACATCTTCAGGAACATTATGAGCTTGATAATCTGGTAATTCAAATCTTGGTGAATTATCATTTACATCAGTTACTTTTATTATCAGCTCAACATGTGTGGAAAATCCGCTAGAATCTTCAGTTGCAGTAACAATAAGATAATATGTCTTTAGTTGTCGTAAATCCTCATAATCCAAATCTTTTGCTAATTTTACTCCTCCTGTTATAGGATCAATATAGAAAGTTCCAACACCTTTACCTTGAGTTCTTAATCTATATCTAATCTCTCTATCTGCAAATGATTTTGCTTTCACTTCAATAATATCAAAATCTTTCTTTTGATTTTCAGGAATGGTTACTTCATAATCTGACATATAGAACTGAGGTGGTCTTTTCCCTCCCATTATAGATAACCTTTTCTCTCCAGTCGATTGATAATGCAGAGTGCCACTACCACTTTCCATTCGTCCATTTTGATCTTGTGCTTTTACATCCAATACATATTCTTTATTCAACATGAAAGGATCACTTCCTAATGTTCGTACCTCTCCAGATCTTTCGTCAACTTCAAATCTGCCACCAGTTCGATCCATAACTAAGTAATAATGTATATCATGATCTTGGTCAGGATCCCTAGCTTCTAATTTGAAAACAGGAGTACCTGGAGGTGCATTTAATTGTATAGGTAGAGGTCTATTTATAAAATAAGGACTCTCATCGTTGACATCTTTCACGTGAATAATAACACGCTGTTTTTCATGTTCTTGAAATCCTGGAATACCTATTAAAACCCAAAAATCTATAGTTTTTTCTTTTTCTAACTGTTCGTAGTCCCAAGGTTCCTTTACTTTAATACTTCCATTTTCCTCAATGTCTATCCAACGATTTATACCTTCTAATTTAAATGTTTCTTCGTTATTTCGTTTCTCTAGATGAAACATTATTTTACCCTTGATACTTCCATCTGTTTCTTTATATTTATAAGTCTTTGTAGGTCTACCCGATCTTTTACTACGCACTAATATAACTTGATTTTCTATTGTATTTTCGTTGACTTTCTTATGGCTGTATACTTCAATTATAACTGGAACAGGATTACTTGTTAAACGTGGTTTACGATTATCGTGAGCTTCCACTAGGAATTTGTGTTTTCAGCTGCGGTTTTTCCAATAATAATATCTCTCCTGTTTTTGGAATAATAATAAACACTGAATGCTTTTTTGAAAAATAATATACAGGTTAATCACCATCAGCATCCACTGCAATTATTTTTCCAATAACTTTATGTAGCTCTGTAGAATCTGGTATTTGGAATTTATAACTATTCTTTAATAAATGAGGAGGATTATCATTTACATCCTCAACTTTTATCCTAATGAAAGTCTTTGCACTATCACCTTTACTATTAGATGCTTCTAAAGTCAGATTGTATTCCTCTCTAGTTTCACGATCCAATGAATTATTTGTATATATAATGAGATTTGTGTCATTTGCTNTATTTTCATAATTAAGATAAATATCTTTATTAAAATTTTCTTAAGTGATACATATTAATATAAATTAAACAATGTTTTCTTCATCATCACTAAGCACTATTAACCGAGAGCATTTTCTCTTTGGCAAGGTATCCTTATCCTCTGAGTATTTTACTGCATTATCTTCATATCCATGCTCTACAGTTTGCAAAAAATATGCTATTTTGGATTGCTTGCTTTTAGTTAAAAGATCTTTATAAATTTCCTTATATGGTTGCTAAGCACTTATGAAGAATAAAGCAAGTATGGAATAAGGGAAAAACATCTGGCAATATCAAAATCAGAAGCGTCAAGATCTGGCAACAATAAAACAAGTTTCAAGAAGGACCACGTGTATCGACAGAAAGCGGGAAAAGAAAATTTACATACTTAAGTACTTGAAAATTTATTACATTTCATGTTGTACGAGGGTTTTAACCAATTCTCGAACCATCTTAGAGTTATAATGCTATAAAAGCACCGTGTTATACAGGGATGTTCCCAATTCTCAAACCGTGTTAGAGTGAATCCATGCTATAGAAGTGTAATGTTATACGGGGTTTACCAGTACTTCAAAATGCATTCAAAATATAATAGTAAATTTAGCAGTGGAATTCAATGCAAGAAATGCAAGTTCAATGCAAGAAATGCATTTATCTCCATACTAGATTATTTCCATTTATATCCATGGAAACTACTGTAAATTGGATATTATAAAACTAAGTGCATTAGGTGGAAAAAAAACCACTTTTGAAACACCTGCTCCTAAACAGCAGTGAGCAGGTAAATGAGTATAATGTATTATATTAATTATATTAAAGGACCAAATAAGTAGTTATTTTGTGTGCAAATGTGTTTTATGTTAGTTTTCAACTTACTACAAAATGTCAGGTGCCTAACCTGTATGTAAGTGAAGGAGTACCCATATATAGAAACCAACATAATAAACATAATCACTCATTTAGTTCTAGAAGAGCAAAAAATTGCTGGATGATGTCTTTATACACACAAGCTATGACAATACCATAAAAAAAAACCCAATTATTCTTTGGTAAGATATCGTGCATTCAATGTCCACATTCTATAAATGAAGAAGTTGTTTATAAAAAATAAGCAGGTTTTCCAAGGCCCAATACCAATTATTCTGGACATTTACATAATCTGATAAATGAAACCAAGCTTCATCTGAGAAAAACATGGTTTTAAGAGCAGCCAAACTGTTTTGTGTGAACATTGAAAACCACTGACCATCTGAGATAGCAACAGTTCTCATAGGGAAATGAACTTCTTGATCTGGATAAAACTTAGAGCAAAGAAGCTGGAAGGGTTAGGTGATATGTTAATGTATACATATTCACAAAATAAATAGAAAACAAAATTAAAATTTTTGACTATTGAGTCCACAGACTTTATGTACCTTAAACTAATGGTTTTGTTTTATCTTATGTAGTTTAGTTAGTTTTATTATTTTATTTTTACATTATTTTAGTGTTAATTACCATTTCATGTTTAATTCTCATTTGTTAATAAAACTATATTAACATTTGCATAATTTTAAAGTTTCCATTTTATCTTGAGATAAATTTGAATCTTAAATTGCTTAAGCTTTATATATACTGCTGAGCATACATAGCCATTTGATATATAATTATATCCACATTTGTTTTTAATGTGTATTCTGTGCATGCAAATTTGCAGATGTCTAAACATAGCATATATATTTAAATGGATCAATTATTTATTGTGACATCATCACAATGCCAGGCTGCAATTTTTAATCATATTTTCAATTTATTTAATTTAAAATATATGCTCTTCATCTCAAAGTATTAGTAGTGGCTTACCCCTATACATCATACTTTTCCTTTAACAATAGAGTCAAACCAAGTATCCATTAACTGCTTTTAGGAGAGAACTTTTGAACTGAAATAATGTGACTTCCACTTTGCATCAGAAGTTTGTACATAGTTAATCAGGGCCTTCTGTCCCTAAGGTTTCCATTTCTGGTCTCAGATTTCATCTAATTCACTCCATTCTTGTGATTAAGAAAAGACAGACAGACGACAATGAGAATTTATAGATCTACAATTTTTTCAAAATTGCAGTCCAATTAAAAAATGTTTTTACAGTACAGTATTTACTTCTGATTTATGTTTGATCCATGTGAACTTGCAGAGTTTAAAATTTATATTTTTGTTTTTCATTCTTATTGCATTATTATATTTGTCTGAAAGTATGAAGATGGAACATGATAGTTCGGATAATTATCAGTAGATAAAAAAATATGGCTTATTTATGTCTTTAAGCATGTATGTAGTTATCTTATACAGTAAAACCTGCTAATGTCACCACTTGTATAAAGTGACTACTTTGAGCTGGTCCCTTCAGTGGTAGCAGATTTCACTGCAGAGAGGTTGCGTCCAGCATTTCCATCAGGAAAACGTGTATGTCGGATGTTGAGCGCCGCATTCCTGTAAGCCTAGAAGTTTGACAATGGCGTTTGGAACGTCGAGCATGATTCCACTGACGTTCCAAACGCCATTGTTAAACTTCTAGGCTTACAGGAATGCGGCGCTCAACATTTGACATACACGTTTTCTCAATGGAAACGTCAGACGCAACCTCTCTAGTTATTATTCTAAGAAAGTAATGATAACTGAATACTCAATTTAATTTAAGAATTTTAGTTATTTTGTATTTAATATTTACTAATTACTACTGATAATATATAATGTTTTCAGTGTTAGTTTTTTATTTCTAATTTTATCCACAAAGCTCAAAATAATTCTATTTTATCAATATTGCAAAATGTTAAAATAATTCAAAATTAAAAATGTCTTTATAGTGATATCATAATAAGTAATCAAGATATAACTCGTAGATCATATCTTAAGTATTATTGTCATGTCTTGATAACAATAAGTAAAAACATATTTGACTCATGAGAATAATACCATTTATCAAAAATAGTTTCAAAATCACAATCACATTGTAATATATAACAATAAAAGTAAATATCAAATTAATTTTAAATATCATTTTGTTGCAAGAAACATTTATATTATTTCAATAAATGTAGTGTGTCATAACAGACTGAAATCAGTTAAAAATAAAGTGATAACAAAAATAACTCAGTTTACCAAGAAATTGTAGTAAGTTACCTTAGGTATAAACCTTTTCAAAACTAAATTAAAAGGAAATAATTTTAAAAAAAAATTAAAAACCAATTTTCTCAATAAATTTCATATATAGAATAACAATGAAAGTCACATTTTACTAATAGGCTTATTTCTCTAGGACAAATTTCTATTAGGCTTCTGTAAACAGCAACACTCAAAATTCAATTCAATATCTTACAGAAGATATTATAAATGAAATATAATGTCACCTCCTGCAAACAACACTAGAGCCACTCCATATATATGCAATTCAATATAATTTTCAGTTATTTAGCAAATAATTGTACTCAATACATTGTGAACAACTTCAGGAAAAAATAATTTATAGAAATATAGAAAAATTCTAACTTCTTATATATTAAATAAGCTTTGTAAACATTCAAAAATATTCATATTTTAAAAAAATGTTTGAAATTTTGAATTTTTAAATCACTTTTACCCAATTATAAACATTGATTTAATTCTTCCGATAATTTACTTGTGTGATATGTAACAAAAACCAGCATGGAAATTTCTACTTTAAAAGATTTGTTAATATACTATACATCTAATAGATTTAAATCTTTATATATATATTTTTTTAGGAATAAGATTTAAAATCTAAACTTTAAAGCAAAATACAACAATATATATCAATTTTCCAAGCTAATATTTGTGTAGGACTATTATTTTGAAGTTTGTATCTACAAATATACACGCTCTTAGACGTACCCATCCTATTACATATATGGAAAGTAGTTAATACAGTCATCCAATAAACTCTTAATCAACAAAGTGAAAACTTCAAATTACATATCCGACATCAATAGCAATTTACATGGTAATATACAAATGTATTTCATAGACAATTAACCCACAAGCATCATACTTCTGAAAAAGCTTGATATAATGAGTGTAAAATGTAACAATCATTGAATGAGGAAATCAATGTTATATTTAAAGAACAATTCAACTACCTACTACTAGGCCACAGTTGATAAATATGATACATTCCACACCTGTTGTTCAAATGTTAAATACCTATTAACAATTTAAGTTTAAACATAAATTATCAATTGTAAGTAAATGAGGTTTGTTAGAAAATAAATAAATATTGTACAGTTTCCTAATTACTTGTATTCATCAGTGAATGTTTTTAAGATATAAATAAGAGAATAAATCGAAATTAGTGGAGGAGAGAAATATCTAACGAACTGTCACTCGGACGGAAGTGCAGATTCTAAATATTTGTTAAAGAAACAGAGATAAGATTCCCTTTCTTAACAAGAATGACACTTGGTAGGGAAAAAAATAATTCATTTACAAGTTATAAAGCGAGTTAATCCTTAACAGAATGGTAAATGGTAGAAGAACGTAAGAGGCGGAAGCATATTTAATTAATTAAAGTATTAATAAGTGAATTTTTTAAAACAATTTTCACACGGATTCATCAAGTAAGTCACTCGACTAGGCCTAACTTATTTACGTTATCGTAGTGGATAAAAATGTTTCGTACTTACATTATTTGGTGATGTAGTGACGATGGTTTCATTTATTAATATATTTAATATATTACTTTTCACAAATTTTCATAAAAATAACAAATAAATTCCTCTTACGAATCCATCAACACTAACACAGTATCGGGCGACGAACGGACGAACGACCGCATCACAATTAGATCTACGAGTATTCGTTCGCTGCGGTTGTTGCGACGACGAGTATAGTAAACGTGTGAATAAATATATTAACACAATTAAAACATTTTTAGAAAAATGATCGGTATATGTTTTAAAATATTTTAAATTTTAAATGTTTTCCTTTTTTAAATCTTTCTACGTTATATAATAACCGTTTGGACAGATCTATCTTTCGGTGTGTGATGTTACACTAACTGAGTGAGTGACTGATCACACCGACTGGCGGCATCGAGTCTGGCTACCGACACCCAAGAATACTCACTAAACGGACAACATTCATCCGTCCATCTCCCTGTTTAGTCCCTGTTTGTTGGTGGGGGGATAAAACGGCAACGAATGCGAATCAACGGTGAGAGGTCAATCACTCCGTACTACATCATCATCATCATCACCGTGCTAACATAAAAATTGCAATCCCATCCTCTATGAGAATTCGAATAAAGGTGCGCTCGTAGATGAACTCCAGATTAATAGGTTAAAGTTTAACACTAGAAGAATTTTCTATCCTGTTATAAAACATCTTAAACAGAATAGAGACTTTAATTCCTCTTTAAAGATGAGTCAAATGCTATGAAAAGATTGAAGAGAGAATCAAAGCCGAATTCATATTTTTTCAGCAGGTTAATTAATGGATATTGTATATTAGAACTAATGAAGAGAATTTTTAACAATTCTTTCTAACTAAATTAAACGAAAACAAATATTTAAAAAGTGAAAAAAAACAAACAATTTTTCATCGTAAAGTGCGTTTTAAAATGTAGATGATGACGATAAACGTACAAAAAGTTTTTTTACTCGTTAAATAACGTATAAAAATGATTTTGCTTGCAATTTACATTCTAAATTTAATATCATATATCTAATGTTAAAATGTTATCTAATATATCATAATTAAATCGTATTAAACCGTATTCTTTTCAAAGATTTTGCGATATTTACATTGTTCTTATTATTAAAAAAAATAGTATAAAAATTCAAATTTGAGATTATGTTGTTAGAAAATAAGGAAACCTTACATTTTTAATAGTATAAGTCTATTAAAATATACAAAACTTATGTATATTTAGCCTAGGCCTTACATATTTTTAAACATAGAAAATCAAAAATTTATCGTAAAAAATATTAATAACTAATTTAAAATATAAACCTTTAGAAATGATTTATAGAAGATTTATAATTCTGAACTATAACCTGTTTGTCTTATATAATTTATCACATTCGCATTCTCATCATCAATATTCGATTCAAAATAATTAAAATACAGTAAACAATATATAAAATATGTTATAAGCTAATAGAAAAAAATTTTTTAAAGTTTTTTGATATGCGAAGTGACAGCCAACTGCAGGTCAGGAAAACAAAATTTATGACTATCAGCACTATCCGGCCAAGTAATGACTGTTGTAAATTCTTATAATAACAATGTCCGCTGAAACAGAGAAACAAAAAAAATTTTTTTTCAATTATTTGTGATAAATTAGAACCTTTATATTGAACTATAATAATTTTATGATACATTCTATCTCTTATATGTATTTTTACATATATTTTTTTCATTTTAAAAAAGCAAAAGATAAAGTTTGTGAACATCCTGAAAGCCATATTTATTTTTTTTACCTTTGTCTGTATACTGTATACTGTACAGTACTTGGCAAATATTTTTGCATTATATTTTATGTTGATTTGCTTTATTGAAGGTGAAGGTTCAGATTGAATGAATATTATTGATGCACATAAATCTTTGTAAATATATAAATATTAAATAGGAAATAAAACTTTCTAATAAGAATTTTGAACCGAAAAATTTAAATAAAAAAAGAAAAAAAAATCGATTTTATAAAACGTCAAACAATATTGTATGTAGATGAATCTTCAACAAATTTGACATTTCTGTCAAGCCTGTCATTTTATACAGATGTCCATTGTGTCTCCTGTCACATATTATATTTTGCATAAAATATGACAAGCTATCTAAATATATTCTCATCTCTAAGCATGCAGTTACGTAATTGAATGCAGTATAAGAGATATTTAAAATTTTATAAAATTAATAAAATTGGATTTGCAAATCTAAAAAAAAAGAAAAGAAAGAAGCGCTGTTTTACGAAGCTATAACTTTTTTTTTTCTGTTTTAAAATAAGTTATTGTTATTTTCTATCTTTTATTCTGTTTAAAAATAATATGTACAGAATTTTTCTATATTTATTTTAGTCATAAAAGTCAAACCCATTTTCTTATCTACATAAACGCTTCATACAAAATAGCCTTCATTATGAAAGAGCGTTGCGCTTATTCATGATTCCTGAAAACTCGCATTGTATGGATCCCTCTCCACAGGATATAAGTTTGAAGATAGATAAAAATCTACTCAGAATATACTAATAATCCCTATCTGTAAAGATATCAAATTTATTCCTTTATGTCCTCTATTTGCATTATAATGTGTTTTATTCATGTGATAAAGTTGGAATATTCTCACGATTTTAAACATTAAGCACACAGAAGGAAAGTCGTTCAATATTTGTCTTTATGTTGTAATAAATAAATTATTTCAAATCATAAAATAAAATTTAAACAATTCCAATAAAAAATTAAAAAGATTATTTTTAAAAATGTTGAAAAGAAATAAATTATTTAATTTAAAAAATTGCTATAAAATAAAACTTAATTTCTAAAATATTTAAAGAAAAATTAAAAATTAACAGAAAAATTTTGTGTTGTGTGAAATATAAAACAATTTCTCAAAATATAAATACATTTTTATAAAATTTTAAAGTTTTTTTTAATTTAATTAAAAATTTATCATAAGGAAGTTTTTAATTTTAAAAACGGTTTAAATGTTATTTTTCTATTTAACTTGTAAGAAATTTCCTTAAGGATATTTCCAAAAACAAACAAAATAAAAATAAAATAAAACGTATGACTTCATTCATAGAATCGAAAAGAAAAAAAAAATTACTAAAACAGGAATTCATTATACCTGTAAAAAGAATAAGGAAAATAATTATAAAATTATTTTACTTTTATAACATTTAGGAATACATGTAGATATATAAATTAACTATGTAAAAGATAGTACAACTTTGATATAGGCTACCGCATTAAAATATTCTTTGAGAAAGAAAGGAAAAAAAAGCTTTATTATGATTTCTTCAAACGAAGTGTACTTAATTCAACAATGAAAGATAAAAAATAAGAAAAAACAGATTTGATTTATCTTAGTTCAGTCGTTTCTTTTATTCAAAGTAATTAAATTCTCATTTATAGGTCACTGCTAACTTATTGGGAAGTCAATAGCTACTTGTGATAATTATCCCATAAGCTAAGATGGATGCAATGATTGTAAGAGGGAGGTGCCCTAATTACCTCTTCATAATCAATTCTTTCATTATTAAAATTGTTAGAAAATATATCTTTACATAAAAAACATGAAAAATAATCAATTCAAATAATTAAAATGAAAATATAGAATTAATTCTATGATTTTTTTTAGAAAGAAATACATAAATGAAAGATAATTGTAAATTTTTTTCCACTCGTGAAATACAATATTTGTTCAAACTATTTGTTAGAATAATATGTACTGTGCATGAATATTATCAATTTTTTTTGTTGTTTTTAATCATATCTGTCATAAAATATTCATTGAGTTAAAACTGATTTTCTTAAAGTTGTCCTATGAATATAAAACTGATCTTCGTGAAATGAGATTATGGTTTTGATAACATTTGTCAAAATCTATCATCGTTAATTTAAAATATGCTTATTTATAATTTTGTTCAATTTATGTTCTAGGCCCTTTTTCTTCCATAAATCATAAAATTTAAAATATTTACTTTTATATAATTATGTTTAAATAAATTCATTGACGTTTTCTTTTTTCTTCTGTTCGTCTTTGACCATTAAGCATTATCATCTTAGGTAGACTATAGATATTATACTACCAAAACAAACGTTTTGCACATTTTAAATAATTATAAGAATATTAAACTCATTAAAATTATTAAATTTTAATCAAATATTTTATTTTTTAAATTATAATTTCTAGTATTTATTACATTTATTTTTTCTATTTATGCATTTGCTTACAAATAAATGCAAATAATATAAATCTATATTCATTTATACAAAACGCACTTTAATCTTTATAAGAAAATTACTTTAGTTAATATCATAAAGTTTTACACAAAATACATATTTTAAATTACATTCAAGATATTAATTTAATATTTTTCAATAAATTTTACTGATAAAAAAGTTCAAGTATTTGGAAGAAAAATGACTGGAAAAATCTTTTCTGACACGAGTAAAGAATATTGCATAGTTAGTCCATCATCAGTCAAAATTTCATAATTTTCTGTCGGTTGAGAGAACTTAACGAATGCATATCATCATCAAAATTTTGAAGCCATGAGAAAAAAATAATAAAATAAAATTAATTAAATGTTTCAGAATATTTACGTCGGGTGTATATACATCTAGGCTAAATTTTGGTGATTCATCATTTTTGTTTTCTATATAAACTCGTACTGTTGCTGTTCCAGTTAAAGGAGGATCTCCTTGATCTGTAGCTCTGACTGTTAAAACATATGCATTCGTAATATCTGCATCAAATCTCTTATTGGAACGAATAATGCCTTTATTATCAATTGTAAATTCATCTTTATCTATAGAATATTCAATTTCAGAATTTTTCCCTTGATCCACGTCAGCAGCAGAAACTTGTAAAATTGAAGTTCCAATTTTTACATCTTCAGGAACATTATGAGCTTGATAATCTGGTAATTCGAATCTTGGTGAATTATCATTTACATCAGTTACTTTTATTATCAGCTCAACATGTGTGGAAAATCCGCTAGAATCTTCAGTTGCAGTAACAATAAGATAATATGTCTTTAGTTGTCGTAAATCCTCATAATCCAAATCTTTTGCTAATTTTACTCCTCCTGTTATAGGATCAATATAGAAAGTTCCAACACCTTTACCTTGAGTTCTTAATCTATATCTAATCTCTCTATCTGCAAATGATTTTGCTTTCACTTCAATAATATCAAAATCTTTCTTTTGATTTTCAGGAATGGTTACTTCATAATCTGACATATAGAACTGAGGTGGTCTTTTCCCTCCCATTATAGATAACCTTTTCTCTCCAGTCGATTGATAATGCAGAGTGCCACTACCACTTTCCATTCGTCCATTTTGATCTTGTGCTTTTACATCCAATACATATTCTTTATTCAACATGAAAGGATCACTTCCTAATGTTCGTACCTCTCCAGATCTTTCGTCAACTTCAAATCTGCCACCAGTTCGATCCATAACTAAGTAATAATGTATATCATGATCTTGGTCAGGATCCCTAGCTTCTAATTTGAAAACAGGAGTACCTGGAGGTGCATTTAATTGTATAGGTAGAGGTCTATTTATAAAATAAGGACTCTCATCGTTGACATCTTTCACGTGAATAATAACACGCTGTTTTTCATGTTCTTGAAATCCTGGAATACCTATTAAAACCCAAAAATCTATAGTTTTTTCTTTTTCTAACTGTTCGTAGTCCCAAGGTTCCTTTACTTTAATACTTCCATTTTCCTCAATGTCTATCCAACGATTTATACCTTCTAATTTAAATGTTTCTTCGTTATTTCGTTTCTCTAGATGAAACATTATTTTACCCTTGATACTTCCATCTGTTTCTTTATATTTATAAGTCTTTGTAGGTCTACCCGATCTTTTACTACGCACTAATATAACTTGATTTTCTATTGTATTTTCGTTGACTTTCTTATGGCTGTATACTTCAATTATAACTGGAACAGGATTACTTGTTAAACGTGGTTTACGATTATCGTGAGCTTCCACTAGGAATTTGTAAGTTTTCAGCTGTGGTTTTTCCAATAATAATATCTGTCCTGTTTTTGGAATAATAGTAAACACCGAATGCTTTTTTGAAAAATGATATACAGGTTGATCACCATCAGCATCCACTGCAATTATCTTTCCAATAACTTTGTGTAGCTCTGTAGAATCTGGTATTTGGAATTTATAACTATTCTTTAATAAATGAGGAGGATTATCATTTACATCCTCAACTTTTATCCTAATGAAAGTCTTTGCACTATCACCTTTACTATTAGATGCTTCTAAAGTCAGATTGTATTCCTCTCTAGTTTCACGATCCAATGAATTATTTGTATATATAATGAGATTTGTGTCATTTGCTGATTGTTGCCTGATCGAAAACGAATTATCTTCATTTCCATCTATAAACTGATATTTTACTTGATCCTTTGGATCAGTTGTTGCAAAAAATAAATCCAAACCTTCTACTTCAGAACCTTTTGGTTCATTCTCTGTTACACTTCCTAAATATGTATCCTTTATAAATTTTAACATCTTGTCTTTTTCCATAACATGAATGATTAAATTTTTTTCTACAGTTCTGTTAGGATAATCTTCTCTAACAATCAAAGTAAATGAGGAATCTATAAAATGAGCTATACTAGCTGTTGGAACCAGAACACCATCACTGAATATGGTAAAATAATTTGAAAATTTATTATTGATAAGACTAAATGACTGACCCTTATTTATTAACTTCTTTATGATGTATCCAGGATATACATCATGAGCCACAACTAAATGTTCTGAATGCTGTTCATAAGAGTTTCCAAAAAAGGACATCACAACACTCAGTCCAAACCAAAACATATTACAGTGATACATGGCTGTTAACATTCCAGTACTCCAATGTTTAAGTTACACATTTTATAAAAGAATTTTGATTTAAAGTCCAGCTCTAATCAAGCAAGCATCTCCGAATGTCATCTACGGCAGCTCGGAACCGGCTTTTGGACCTCAACCGACAACCAAACCATCCCATATGACGTCACCCAATATCTCAGAATATTAAATTTTTATTTTTTAAATTAATTTTTCTAAATTATATATAATTAAAATAAAACGCCAGCTGTATAAATCTATATAAATTTTTAAAAATTATGTAGGTTCTTGATGCAATCTTTAATAAATTCTTTATTTTGTATTCGAAGGTTATCCTGTTTTGATAGATGATATTAAGATAATGGAGAAGCGATTAAACAAATTTCCAAATGCGTCAGTGTCTATCGAATTGATAATTTTTGACTCCCTTGACCTTAGTCTCATCTTTATAGAAAGAGTTTGCGAAGTTATAAACTGTAGCTTTTTATTAAACGTAACATGCATTAAGTTAATTTCTAGATAAACAAAAATAAAAATCTCTTTATTATTGAAACTGCGTAAAGGTCAAGAATATTTTCAAATGGCCTAGTTTCCTCCTAAAAATATTTCATATCCGAAACAAGTTTGCCTGACTCACTCCTTACATAGAAAAGTCTGATTTTCCTGAATGGCTAATTGTGTTTGTTCACACCTGTGTATCCACACCTGCACGAAACACAACTCCCAACTCCCAAACCAATTGTTTGGCCTTCCCATTTACTACTATTTATAATATGAAATCCATTATTAACTATTAATAAATGGAAAAATAATATTTTCCAACAATTCTATATTCTCGTTTTTTAAATGAAATTTAAAGTAAATATATACAGTCAAACCTCGNATGTCATCTACGGCAGCTCGGAACCGGCTTTTGGACCTCAACCGACAACCAAACCATCCCATATGACGTCACCCAATATCTCAGAATATTAAATTTTTATTTTTTAAATTAATTTTTCTAAATTATATATAATTAAAATAAAACGCCAGCTGTATAAATCTATATAAATTTTTAAAAATTATGTAGGTTCTTGATGCAATCTTTAATAAATTCTTTATTTTGTATTCGAAGGTTATCCTGTTTTGATAGATGATATTAAGATAATGGAGAAGCGATTAAACAAATTTCCAAATGCGTCAGTGTCTATCGAATTGATAATTTTTGACTCCCTTGACCTTAGTCTCATCTTTATAGAAAGAGTTTGCGAAGTTATAAACTGTAGCTTTTTATTAAACGTAACATGCATTAAGTTAATTTCTAGATAAACAAAAATAAAAATCTCTTTATTATTGAAACTGCGTAAAGGTCAAGAATATTTTCAAATGGCCTAGTTTCCTCCTAAAAATATTTCATATCCGAAACAAGTTTGCCTGACTCACTCCTTACATAGAAAAGTCTGATTTTCCTGAATGGCTAATTGTGTTTGTTCACACCTGTGTATCCACACCTGCACGAAACACAACTCCCAACTCCCAAACCAATTGTTTGGCCTTCCCATTTACTACTATTTATAATATGAAATCCATTATTAACTATTAATAAATGGAAAAATAATATTTTCCAACAATTCTATATTCTCGTTTTTTAAATGAAATTTAAAGTAAATAAATTAGATTCAAATCATCGTTCTAAATCGCATTTAAAAAACTGTATTTAAATTAATTAGATAGCATTTAAAATAAATTGACCATAATATAGTAAAAGCTTATCGTATTTAAAATACAAATATAGCAATATATATAATATATAATATATATTTAAAAATTATAATTAAAATTAAACATATTTAAATCGCAATTATAATAATTAATTTTTTGACAAAAGTAAAATCATTTAAATCACAAATGTAATAATCATTTTATATCACAATTAAAATTCGTCACATTTATGACATTTTACATTTTTAATTGAGCAGGCGAATCTTAATTAAATTCTAAAATAATTTTTTTTTTTTTAAATTATATTTAAAACATGCCAATCAAAAAATAGATAAATATTATTTAGAACATAATTATAGTAAAATAATCATCTCAATTAAAATAAGAAAATTGCATTTAGAATTCACTCAAACACAATTAAAATAAATATTTTACATTTAAATCTCGGTTAACTTAATCACCATTTAAGTAAATGAATCTAAATTAAGTTCAATTAGATTACGTGACTTAAATCACATTTAAATAAAATGTACAGTTTTATCGTTCGAAAAAATTTCAATTTAGAAGATTCTAAGCGGACAAGATGGAGTAAGTCATCCCATTTAATGAAACTAAATAGAACATCCTTGGGAAAGCGGATGCCAAGTAACTATTTTATTCAGTCAGTAAAAATGCCGTGATTCATTCTATAAATATGGAAAATTGAAAACTATTCAGAATCAAATTTTTCTCATAACTTCATAAAAAAATTTTTAAAAATTGTAACAATTCGCTGTAAGCGTTTTTTTAAATATTTTAAAATATTTAAAAGGTAAATAATATAATTTAATAGATTTAAATGTATTTATATATCTATATATATTTTTTTCTTAAAGTTCGACGCCCTTACGAGATGTGATAAGATAGATATAGGTCAATAATAAATAGTTCAAGTAACAACAACCACCCGCTTTTGAACATTAAATATTGATAAGATTCAAATTATATACTTAAAACTAGTTATGCAGTTTAAGTCGAGGTGTACANTTTTTTTCAATTATTTGTGATAAATTAGAACCTTTATATTGAACTATAATAATTTTATGATACATTCTATCTCTTATATGTATTTTTACATATATTTTTTTCATTTTAAAAAAGCAAAAGATAAAGTTTGTGAACATCCTGAAAGCCATATTTATTTTTTTTACCTTTGTCTGTATACTGTATACTGTACAGTACTTGGCAAATATTTTTGCATTATATTTTATGCTGATTTGCTTTATTGAAGGTGAAGGTTCAGATTGAATGAATATTATTGATGCACATAAATCTTTGTAAATATATAAATATTAAATAGGAAATAAAACTTTCTAATAAGAATTTTGAACCGAAAAATTTAAATAAAAAAAGAAAAAAAAATCGATTTTATAAAACGTCAAACAATATTGTATGTAGATGAATCTTCAACAAATTTGACATTTCTGTCAAGCCTGTCATTTTATACAGATGTCCATTGTGTCTCCTGTCACATATTATATTTTGCATAAAATATGACAAGCTATCTAAATATATTCTCATCTCTAAGCATGCAGTTACGTAATTGAATGCAGTATAAGAGATATTTAAAATTTTATAAAATTAATAAAATTGGATTTGCAAATCTAAAAAAAAAGAAAAGAAAGAAGCGCTGTTTTACGAAGCTATAACTTTTTTTTTTTTCTGTTTTAAAATAAGTTATTGTTATTTTCTATCTTTTATTCTGTTTAAAAATAATATGTACAGAATTTTTCTATATTTATTTTAGTCATAAAAGTCAAACCCATTTTCTTATCTACATAAACGCTTCATACAAAATAGCCTTCATTATGAAAGAGCGTTGCGCTTATTCATGATTCCTGAAAACTCGCATTGTATGGATCCCTCTCCACAGGATATAAGTTTGAAGATAGATAAAAATCTACTCAGAATATACTAATAATCCCTATCTGTAAAGATATCAAATTTATTCCTTTATGTCCTCTATTTGCATTATAATGTGTTTTATTCATGTGATAAAGTTGGAATATTCTCACGATTTTAAACATTAAGCACACAGAAGGAAAGTCGTTCAATATTTGTCTTTATGTTGTAATAAATAAATTATTTCAAATCATAAAATAAAATTTAAACAATTCCAATAAAAAATTAAAAAGATTATTTTTAAAAATGTTGAAAAGAAATAAATTATTTAATTTAAAAAATTGCTATAAAATAAAACTTAATTTCTAAAATATTTAAAGAAAAATTAAAAATTAACAGAAAAATTTTGTGTTGTGTGAAATATAAAACAATTTCTCAAAATATAAATACATTTTTATAAAATTTTAAAGTTTTTTTTAATTTAATTAAAAATTTATCATAAGGAAGTTTTTAATTTTAAAAACGGTTTAAATGTTATTTTTCTATTTAACTTGTAAGAAATTTCCTTAAGGATATTTCCAAAAACAAACAAAATAAAAATAAAATAAAACGTATGACTTCATTCATAGAATCGAAAAGAAAAAAAAAATTACTAAAACAGGAATTCATTATACCTGTAAAAAGAATAAGGAAAATAATTATAAAATTATTTTACTTTTATAACATTTAGGAATACATGTAGATATATAAATTAACTATGTAAAAGATAGTACAACTTTGATATAGGCTACCGCATTAAAATATTCTTTGAGAAAGAAAGGAAAAAAAAGCTTTATTATGATTTCTTCAAACGAAGTGTACTTAATTCAACAATGAAAGATAAAAAATAAGAAAAAACAGATTTGATTTATCTTAGTTCAGTCGTTTCTTTTATTCAAAGTAATTAAATTCTCATTTATAGGTCACTGCTAACTTATTGGGAAGTCAATAGCTACTTGTGATAATTATCCCATAAGCTAAGATGGATGCAATGATTGTAAGAGGGAGGTGCCCTAATTACCTCTTCATAATCAATTCTTTCATTATTAAAATTGTTAGAAAATATATCTTTACATAAAAAACATGAAAAATAATCAATTCAAATAATTAAAATGAAAATATAGAATTAATTCTATGATTTTTTTTAGAAAGAAATACATAAATGAAAGATAATTGTAAATTTTTTTCCACTCGTGAAATACAATATTTGTTCAAACTATTTGTTAGAATAATATGTACTGTGCATGAATATTATCAATTTTTTTTGTTGTTTTTAATCATATCTGTCATAAAATATTCATTGAGTTAAAACTGATTTTCTTAAAGTTGTCCTATGAATATAAAACTGATCTTCGTGAAATGAGATTATGGTTTTGATAACATTTGTCAAAATCTATCATCGTTAATTTAAAATATGCTTATTTATAATTTTGTTCAATTTATGTTCTAGGCCCTTTTTCTTCCATAAATCATAAAATTTAAAATATTTACTTTTATATAATTATGTTTAAATAAATTCATTGACGTTTTCTTTTTTCTTCTGTTCGTCTTTGACCATTAAGCATTATCATCTTAGGTAGACTATAGATATTATACTACCAAAACAAACGTTTTGCACATTTTAAATAATTATAAGAATATTAAACTCATTAAAATTATTAAATTTTAATCAAATATTTTATTTTTTAAATTATAATTTCTAGTATTTATTACATTTATTTTTTCTATTTATGCATTTGCTTACAAATAAATGCAAATAATATAAATCTATATTCATTTATACAAAACGCACTTTAATCTTTATAAGAAAATTACTTTAGTTAATATCATAAAGTTTTACACAAAATACATATTTTAAATTACATTCAAGATATTAATTTAATATTTTTCAATAAATTTTACTGATAAAAAAGTTCAAGTATTTGGAAGAAAAATGACTGGAAAAATCTTTTCTGACACGAGTAAAGAATATTGCATAGTTAGTCCATCATCAGTCAAAATTTCATAATTTTCTGTCGGTTGAGAGAACTTAACGAATGCATATCATCATCAAAATTTTGAAGCCATGAGAAAAAAATAATAAAATAAAATTAATTAAATGTTTCAGAATATTTACGTCGGGTGTATATACATCTAGGCTAAATTTTGGTGATTCATCATTTTTGTTTTCTATATAAACTCGTACTGTTGCTGTTCCAGTTAAAGGAGGATCTCCTTGATCTGTAGCTCTGACTGTTAAAACATATGCATTCGTAATATCTGCATCAAATCTCTTATTGGAACGAATAATGCCTTTATTATCAATTGTAAATTCATCTTTATCTATAGAATATTCAATTTCAGAATTTTTCCCTTGATCCACGTCAGCAGCAGAAACTTGTAAAATTGAAGTTCCAATTTTTACATCTTCAGGAACATTATGAGCTTGATAATCTGGTAATTCGAATCTTGGTGAATTATCATTTACATCAGTTACTTTTATTATCAGCTCAACATGTGTGGAAAATCCGCTAGAATCTTCAGTTGCAGTAACAATAAGATAATATGTCTTTAGTTGTCGTAAATCCTCATAATCCAAATCTTTTGCTAATTTTACTCCTCCTGTTATAGGATCAATATAGAAAGTTCCAACACCTTTACCTTGAGTTCTTAATCTATATCTAATCTCTCTATCTGCAAATGATTTTGCTTTCACTTCAATAATATCAAAATCTTTCTTTTGATTTTCAGGAATGGTTACTTCATAATCTGACATATAGAACTGAGGTGGTCTTTTCCCTCCCATTATAGATAACCTTTTCTCTCCAGTCGATTGATAATGCAGAGTGCCACTACCACTTTCCATTCGTCCATTTTGATCTTGTGCTTTTACATCCAATACATATTCTTTATTCAACATGAAAGGATCACTTCCTAATGTTCGTACCTCTCCAGATCTTTCGTCAACTTCAAATCTGCCACCAGTTCGATCCATAACTAAGTAATAATGTATATCATGATCTTGGTCAGGATCCCTAGCTTCTAATTTGAAAACAGGAGTACCTGGAGGTGCATTTAATTGTATAGGTAGAGGTCTATTTATAAAATAAGGACTCTCATCGTTGACATCTTTCACGTGAATAATAACACGCTGTTTTTCATGTTCTTGAAATCCTGGAATACCTATTAAAACCCAAAAATCTATAGTTTTTTCTTTTTCTAACTGTTCGTAGTCCCAAGGTTCCTTTACTTTAATACTTCCATTTTCCTCAATGTCTATCCAACGATTTATACCTTCTAATTTAAATGTTTCTTCGTTATTTCGTTTCTCTAGATGAAACATTATTTTACCCTTGATACTTCCATCTGTTTCTTTATATTTATAAGTCTTTGTAGGTCTACCCGATCTTTTACTACGCACTAATATAACTTGATTTTCTATTGTATTTTCGTTGACTTTCTTATGGCTGTATACTTCAATTATAACTGGAACAGGATTACTTGTTAAACGTGGTTTACGATTATCGTGAGCTTCCACTAGGAATTTGTAAGTTTTCAGCTGTGGTTTTTCCAATAATAATATCTGTCCTGTTTTTGGAATAATAGTAAACACCGAATGCTTTTTTGAAAAATGATATACAGGTTGATCACCATCAGCATCCACTGCAATTATCTTTCCAATAACTTTGTGTAGCTCTGTAGAATCTGGTATTTGGAATTTATAACTATTCTTTAATAAATGAGGAGGATTATCATTTACATCCTCAACTTTTATCCTAATGAAAGTCTTTGCACTATCACCTTTACTATTAGATGCTTCTAAAGTCAGATTGTATTCCTCTCTAGTTTCACGATCCAATGAATTATTTGTATATATAATGAGATTTGTATCATTTGCTGATTGTTGCCTGATCGAAAATGAATTATCTTCATTTCCATCTATAAACTGATATTTTACTTGATCCTTTGGATCAGTTGTTGCAAAAAATAAATCCAAACCTTCTACTTCAGAACCTTTTGGTTCATTCTCTGTTACACTTCCTAAATATGTATCCTTTATAAATTTTAACATCTTGTCTTTGTCCATTACATGAATGATTAAATTTTTTTCTACAGTTCTGTTAGGATAATCTTCTCTAACAATCAAAGTAAATGGGGAATCTATAAAATGAGCTATACTAGCTGTTGGAACCAGAACACCATCACTGAATATGGTAAAATAATTTGAAAATTCATTATTGATAAGACTAAATGACTGACCCCTATTTATTAACTTCTTTATGCTGTATCCAGGATATACATCATGAGCCACAACTAAATGTTCTGAATGCTGTTCATATGAGTTTCCAAAAAAGGACATCACAACACTCAGTCCAAACCAAAACATATTACAGTGATACATGGCTGTTAACATTCCAGTACTCCAATGTTTAAGTTACACATTTTATAAAAGAATTTTGATTTAAAGTCCAGCTCTAATCAAGCAAGCATCTCCGAATGTCATCTACGGCAGCTCGGAACCGGCTTTTGGACCTCAACCGACAACCAAACCATCCCATATGACGTCACCCAATATCTCAGAATATTAAATTTTTATTTTTTAAATTAATTTTTCTAAATTATATATAATTAAAATAAAACGCCAGCTGTATAAATCTATATAAATTTTTAAAAATTATGTAGGTTCTTGATGCAATCTTTAATAAATTCTTTATTTTGTATTCGAAGGTTATCCTGTTTTGATAGATGATATTAAGATAATGGAGAAGCGATTAAACAAATTTCCAAATGCGTCAGTGTCTATCGAATTGATAATTTTTGACTCCCTTGACCTTAGTCTCATCTTTATAGAAAGAGTTTGCGAAGTTATAAACTGTAGCTTTTTATTAAACGTAACATGCATTAAGTTAATTTCTAGATAAACAAAAATAAAAATCTCTTTATTATTGAAACTGCGTAAAGGTCAAGAATATTTTCAAATGGCCTAGTTTCCTCCTAAAAATATTTCATATCCGAAACAAGTTTGCCTGACTCACTCCTTACATAGAAAAGTCTGATTTTCCTGAATGGCTAATTGTGTTTGTTCACACCTGTGTATCCACACCTGCACGAAACACAACTCCCAACTCCCAAACCAATTGTTTGGCCTTCCCATTTACTACTATTTATAATATGAAATCCATTATTAACTATTAATAAATGGAAAAATAATATTTTCCAACAATTCTATATTCTCGTTTTTTAAATGAAATTTAAAGTAAATAAATTAGATTCAAATCATCGTTCTAAATCGCATTTAAAAAACTGTATTTAAATTAATTAGATAGCATTTAAAATAAATTGACCATAATATAGTAAAAGCTTATCGTATTTAAAATACAAATATAGCAATATATATAATATATAATATATATTTAAAAATTATAATTAAAATTAAACATATTTAAATCGCAATTATAATAATTAATTTTTTGACAAAAGTAAAATCATTTAAATCACAAATGTAATAATCATTTTATATCACAATTAAAATTCGTCACATTTATGACATTTTACATTTTTAATTGAGCAGGCGAATCTTAATTAAATTCTAAAATAATTTTTTTTTTTTTAAATTATATTTAAAACATGCCAATCAAAAAATAGATAAATATTATTTAGAACATAATTATAGTAAAATAATCATCTCAATTAAAATAAGAAAATTGCATTTAGAATTCACTCAAACACAATTAAAATAAATATTTTACATTTAAATCTCGGTTAACTTAATCACCATTTAAGTAAATGAATCTAAATTAAGTTCAATTAGATTACGTGACTTAAATCACATTTAAATAAAATGTACAGTTTTATCGTTCGAAAAAATTTCAATTTAGAAGATTCTAAGCGGACAAGATGGAGTAAGTCATCCCATTTAATGAAACTAAATAGAACATCCTTGGGAAAGCGGATGCCAAGTAACTATTTTATTCAGTCAGTAAAAATGCCGTGATTCATTCTATAAATATGGAAAATTGAAAACTATTCAGAATCAAATTTTTCTCATAACTTCATAAAAAAATTTTTAAAAATTGTAACAATTCGCTGTAAGCGTTTTTTTTAAATATTTTAAAATATTTAAAAGGTAAATAATATAATTTAATAGATTTAAATGTATTTATATATCTATATATATTTTTTTCTTAAAGTTCGACGCCCTTACGAGATGTGATAAGATAGATATAGGTCAATAATAAATAGTTCAAGTAACAACAACCACCCGCTTTTGAACATTAAATATTGATAAGATTCAAATTATATACTTAAAACTAGTTATGCAGTTTAAGTCGAGGTGTGCATATCTATACAATTTAATTATTCAAAAAAATTATTTTTTAAATTTAATTATAATTAATTAATTGAGTTTAAGCTATTGTTTATACGTGTCAATTGTTTATTTTTATGTCATAAAAAAGTGTTTTACGTGTGAAAAATAATTAATAGGAAAAAAAACTTGGGACAGGTTCACTCATGCGATAAGTTTACTGAAAATGAACATAGAGTAATATTTTATAGAAATGAATAGATTTCTTCCATTCTGCAATACAATGAGCTAACTAGTTTCATTTTTGGTGTGCTTTTAGTGACAATTAGTAGGACAAGCGACCGAGTTGTGACTCACGCGTTATTGCAGATTATAGTAGAAGGTCTGCAGCTGGGAACGATGTTTGAGTCGATAACATCTGGAAGGTAATACAATCCTCGTCGACGTTTTTTTTTTTCTTTCCCTTTCTCCACTTACTGTTTGTTAGATGACAAAAATCAGAGCCTCTTTCTCCACAGAAAAAGACCTAAAGAGCGTTTTTTATTTCTATTATTTGTGATTTTTCATATAATACTTGAACTTGTTAGTTGGTTCAACTTTCAATAAACTGATATTTTACTTGATCCTTTGGATCAGTTGTTGCAAAAAATNACAATTCCAATAAAAAATTAAAAAGATTATTTTTAAAAATGTTGAAAAGAAATAAATTATTTAATTTAAAAAATTGCTATAAAATAAAACTTAATTTCTAAAATATTTAAAGAAAAATTAAAAATTAACAGAAAAATTTTGTGTTGTGTGAAATATAAAACAATTTCTCAAAATATAAATACATTTTTATAAAATTTTAAAGTTTTTTTTAATTTAATTAAAAATTTATCATAAGGAAGTTTTTAATTTTAAAAACGGTTTAAATGTTATTTTTCTATTTAACTTGTAAGAAATTTCCTTAAGGATATTTCCAAAAACAAACAAAATAAAAATAAAATAAAACGTATGACTTCATTCATAGAATCGAAAAGAAAAAAAAAATTACTAAAACAGGAATTCATTATACCTGTAAAAAGAATAAGGAAAATAATTATAAAATTATTTTACTTTTATAACATTTAGGAATACATGTAGATATATAAATTAACTATGTAAAAGATAGTACAACTTTGATATAGGCTACCGTATTAAAATATTCTTTGAGAAAGAAAGGAAAAAAAAGCTTTATTATGATTTCTTCAAACGAAGTGTACTTAATTCAACAATGAAAGATAAAAAATAAGAAAAAACAGATTTGATTTATCTTAGTTCAGTCGTTTCTTTTATTCAAAGTAATTAAATTCTCATTTATAGGTCACTGCTAACTTATTGGGAAGTCAATAGCTACTTGTGATAATTATCCCATAAGCTAAGATGGATGCAATGATTGTAAGAGGGAGGTGCCCTAATTACCTCTTCATAATCAATTCTTTCATTATTAAAATTGTTAGAAAATATATCTTTACATAAAAAAACATTAAAAATAATCAATTCAAATAATTAAAATGAAAATATAGAATTAATTCTATGATTTTTTTTAGAAAGAAATACATAAATGAAAGATAATTGTAAATTTTTTTCCACTCGTGAAATACAATATTTGTTCAAACTATTTGTTAGAATAATATGTACTGTGCATGAATATTATCAATTTTTTTTTTGTTGTTTTTAATCATATCTGTCATAAAATATTCATTGAGTTAAAACTGATTTTCTTAAAGTTGTCCTATGAATATAAAACTGATCTTCGTGAAATGAGATTATGGTTTTGATAACATTTGTCAAAATCTATCATCGTTAATTTAAAATATGCTTATTTATAATTTTGTTCAATTTATGTTCTAGGCCCTTTTTCTTCCATAAATCATAAAATTTAAAATATTTACTTTTATATAATTATGTTTAAATAAATTCATTGACGTTTTCTTTTTTCTTCTGTTCGTCTTTGACCATTAAGCATTATCATCTTAGGTAGACTATAGATATTATACTACCAAAACAAACGTTTTGCACATTTTAAATAATTATAAGAATATTAAACTCATTAAAATTATTAAATTTTAATCAAATATTTTATTTTTTAAATTATAATTTCTAGTATTTATTACATTTATTTTTTCTATTTATGCATTTGCTTACAAATAAATGCAAATAATATAAATCTATATTCATTTATACAAAACGCACTTTAATCTTTATAAGAAAATTACTTTAGTTAATATCATAAAGTTTTACACAAAATACATATTTTAAATTACATTCAAGATATTAATTTAATATTTTTCAATAAATTTTACTGATAAAAAAGTTCAAGTATTTGGAAGAAAAATGACTGGAAAAATCTTTTCTGACACGAGTAAAGAATATTGCATAGTTAGTCCATCATCAGTCAAAATTTCATAATTTTCTGTCGGTTGAGAGAACTTAACGAATGCATATCATCATCAAAATTTTGAAGCCATGAGAAAAAAATAATAAAATAAAATTAATTAAATGTTTCAGAATATTTACGTCGGGTGTATATACATCTAGGCTAAATTTTGGTGATTCATCATTTTTGTTTTCTATATAAACTCGTACTGTTGCTGTTCCAGTTAAAGGAGGATCTCCTTGATCTGTAGCTCTGACTGTTAAAACATATGCATTCGTAATATCTGCATCAAATCTCTTATTGGAACGAATAATGCCTTTATTATCAATTGTAAATTCATCTTTATCTATAGAATATTCAATTTCAGAATTTTTCCCTTGATCCACGTCAGCAGCAGAAACTTGTAAAATTGAAGTTCCAATTTTTACATCTTCAGGAACATTATGAGCTTGATAATCTGGTAATTCGAATCTTGGTGAATTATCATTTACATCAGTTACTTTTATTATCAGCTCAACATGTGTGGAAAATCCGCTAGAATCTTCAGTTGCAGTAACAATAAGATAATATGTCTTTAGTTGTCGTAAATCCTCATAATCCAAATCTTTTGCTAATTTTACTCCTCCTGTTATAGGATCAATATAGAAAGTTCCAACACCTTTACCTTGAGTTCTTAATCTATATCTAATCTCTCTATCTGCAAATGATTTTGCTTTCACTTCAATAATATCAAAATCTTTCTTTTGATTTTCAGGAATGGTTACTTCATAATCTGACATATAGAACTGAGGTGGTCTTTTCCCTCCCATTATAGATAACCTTTTCTCTCCAGTCGATTGATAATGCAGAGTGCCACTACCACTTTCCATTCGTCCATTTTGATCTTGTGCTTTTACATCCAATACATATTCTTTATTCAACATGAAAGGATCACTTCCTAATGTTCGTACCTCTCCAGATCTTTCGTCAACTTCAAATCTGCCACCAGTTCGATCCATAACTAAGTAATAATGTATATCATGATCTTGGTCAGGATCCCTAGCTTCTAATTTGAAAACAGGAGTACCTGGAGGTGCATTTAATTGTATAGGTAGAGGTCTATTTATAAAATAAGGACTCTCATCGTTGACATCTTTCACGTGAATAATAACACGCTGTTTTTCATGTTCTTGAAATCCTGGAATACCTATTAAAACCCAAAAATCTATAGTTTTTTCTTTTTCTAACTGTTCGTAGTCCCAAGGTTCCTTTACTTTAATACTTCCATTTTCCTCAATGTCTATCCAACGATTTATACCTTCTAATTTAAATGTTTCTTCGTTATTTCGTTTCTCTAGATGAAACATTATTTTACCCTTGATACTTCCATCTGTTTCTTTATATTTATAAGTCTTTGTAGGTCTACCCGATCTTTTACTACGCACTAATATAACTTGATTTTCTATTGTATTTTCGTTGACTTTCTTATGGCTGTATACTTCAATTATAACTGGAACAGGATTACTTGTTAAACGTGGTTTACGATTATCGTGAGCTTCCACTAGGAATTTGTAAGTTTTCAGCTGTGGTTTTTCCAATAATAATATCTGTCCTGTTTTTGGAATAATAGTAAACACCGAATGCTTTTTTGAAAAATGATATACAGGTTGATCACCATCAGCATCCACTGCAATTATCTTTCCAATAACTTTGTGTAGCTCTGTAGAATCTGGTATTTGGAATTTATAACTATTCTTTAATAAATGAGGAGGATTATCATTTACATCCTCAACTTTTATCCTAATGAAAGTCTTTGCACTATCACCTTTACTATTAGATGCTTCTAAAGTCAGATTGTATTCCTCTCTAGTTTCACGATCCAATGAATTATTTGTATATATAATGAGATTTGTATCATTTGCTGATTGTTGCCTGATCGAAAATGAATTATCTTCATTTCCATCTATAAACTGATATTTTACTTGATCCTTTGGATCAGTTGTTGCAAAAAATAAATCCAAACCTTCTACTTCAGAACCTTTTGGTTCATTCTCTGTTACACTTCCTAAATATGTATCCTTTATAAATTTTAACATCTTGTCTTTGTCCATTACATGAATGATTAAATTTTTTTCTACAGTTCTGTTAGGATAATCTTCTCTAACAATCAAAGTAAATGGGGAATCTATAAAATGAGCTATACTAGCTGTTGGAACCAGAACACCATCACTGAATATGGTAAAATAATTTGAAAATTCATTATTGATAAGACTAAATGACTGACCCCTATTTATTAACTTCTTTATGCTGTATCCAGGATATACATCATGAGCCACAACTAAATGTTCTGAATGCTGTTCATATGAGTTTCCAAAAAAGGACATCACAACACTCAGTCCAAACCAAAACATATTACAGTGATACATGGCTGTTAACATTCCAGTACTCCAATGTTTAAGTTACACATTTTATAAAAGAATTTTGATTTAAAGTCCAGCTCTAATCAAGCAAGCATCTCCGAATGTCATCTACGGCAGCTCGGAACCGGCTTTTGGACCTCAACCGACAACCAAACCATCCCATATGACGTCACCCAATATCTCAGAATATTAAATTTTTATTTTTTAAATTAATTTTTCTAAATTATATATAATTAAAATAAAACGCCAGCTGTATAAATCTATATAAATTTTTAAAAATTATGTAGGTTCTTGATGCAATCTTTAATAAATTCTTTATTTTGTATTCGAAGGTTATCCTGTTTTGATAGATGATATTAAGATAATGGAGAAGCGATTAAACAAATTTCCAAATGCGTCAGTGTCTATCGAATTGATAATTTTTGACTCCCTTGACCTTAGTCTCATCTTTATAGAAAGAGTTTGCGAAGTTATAAACTGTAGCTTTTTATTAAACGTAACATGCATTAAGTTAATTTCTAGATAAACAAAAATAAAAATCTCTTTATTATTGAAACTGCGTAAAGGTCAAGAATATTTTCAAATGGCCTAGTTTCCTCCTAAAAATATTTCATATCCGAAACAAGTTTGCCTGACTCACTCCTTACATAGAAAAGTCTGATTTTCCTGAATGGCTAATTGTGTTTGTTCACACCTGTGTATCCACACCTGCACGAAACACAACTCCCAACTCCCAAACCAATTGTTTGGCCTTCCCATTTACTACTATTTATAATATGAAATCCATTATTAACTATTAATAAATGGAAAAATAATATTTTCCAACAATTCTATATTCTCGTTTTTTAAATGAAATTTAAAGTAAATAAATTAGATTCAAATCATCGTTCTAAATCGCATTTAAAAAACTGTATTTAAATTAATTAGATAGCATTTAAAATAAATTGACCATAATATAGTAAAAGCTTATCGTATTTAAAATACAAATATAGCAATATATATAATATATAATATATATTTAAAAATTATAATTAAAATTAAACATATTTAAATCGCAATTATAATAATTAATTTTTTGACAAAAGTAAAATCATTTAAATCACAAATGTAATAATCATTTTATATCACAATTAAAATTCGTCACATTTATGACATTTTACATTTTTAATTGAGCAGGCGAATCTTAATTAAATTCTAAAATAATTTTTTTTTTTTTAAATTATATTTAAAACATGCCAATCAAAAAATAGATAAATATTATTTAGAACATAATTATAGTAAAATAATCATCTCAATTAAAATAAGAAAATTGCATTTAGAATTCACTCAAACACAATTAAAATAAATATTTTACATTTAAATCTCGGTTAACTTAATCACCATTTAAGTAAATGAATCTAAATTAAGTTCAATTAGATTACGTGACTTAAATCACATTTAAATAAAATGTACAGTTTTATCGTTCGAAAAAATTTCAATTTAGAAGATTCTAAGCGGACAAGATGGAGTAAGTCATCCCATTTAATGAAACTAAATAGAACATCCTTGGGAAAGCGGATGCCAAGTAACTATTTTATTCAGTCAGTAAAAATGCCGTGATTCATTCTATAAATATGGAAAATTGAAAACTATTCAGAATCAAATTTTTCTCATAACTTCATAAAAAAATTTTTAAAAATTGTAACAATTCGCTGTAAGCGTTTTTTTTAAATATTTTAAAATATTTAAAAGGTAAATAATATAATTTAATAGATTTAAATGTATTTATATATCTATATATATTTTTTTCTTAAAGTTCGACGCCCTTACGAGATGTGATAAGATAGATATAGGTCAATAATAAATAGTTCAAGTAACAACAACCACCCGCTTTTGAACATTAAATATTGATAAGATTCAAATTATATACTTAAAACTAGTTATGCAGTTTAAGTCGAGGTGTGCATATCTATACAATTTAATTATTCAAAAAAATTATTTTTTAAATTTAATTATAATTAATTAATTGAGTTTAAGCTATTGTTTATACGTGTCAATTGTTTATTTTTATGTCATAAAAAAGTGTTTTACGTGTGAAAAATAATTAATAGGAAAAAAAACTTGGGACAGGTTCACTCATGCGATAAGTTTACTGAAAATGAACATAGAGTAATATTTTATAGAAATGAATAGATTTCTTCCATTCTGCAATACAATGAGCTAACTAGTTTCATTTTTGGTGTGCTTTTAGTGACAATTAGTAGGACAAGCGACCGAGTTGTGACTCACGCGTTATTGCAGATTATAGTAGAAGGTCTGCAGCTGGGAACGATGTTTGAGTCGATAACATCTGGAAGGTAATACAATCCTCGTCGACGTTTTTTTTTTCTTTCCCTTTCTCCACTTACTGTTTGTTAGATGACAAAAATCAGAGCCTCTTTCTCCACAGAAAAAGACCTAAAGAGCGTTTTTTATTTCTATTATTTGTGATTTTTCATATAATACTTGAACTTGTTAGTTGGTTCAACTTTCATTTCTAAGATTTACTTGAAATTATTAATATATTTTAAACATATTATTTTATTAATATAATTAAAAATGTATTTTTTAAAAATCACGAGAAATTTATGATAGTAGCCTACTCAAATTAGTATATTCTGTGTTCATTTATCTAAATTGAATATCATCTTGATATTTTGTAAAATATCGAAAAAAATAATCAAAATTAAATCTATATTAATGTAATTTAGAATTAAGAAAAAAAGATGGAAAAATTCGTACAAAATGGAACCTAAACTAATTAAGGTATTTAAATAAATAATATATAGTACTACTGTTAAAATATTAAGAAGCAATAAAAAAAACTGTGTTAAGTATTAAGAAGCAATTATAATTAATTATGAGTATACTTTACGGATCTGTTTATATAAAATATAAATTGATTAAATAGATTATTCATATTAAACATAATTAAAACTTTAAAGCAATTCTGTTGACTACATATATATATATATTTTTTAATCATTGTTATATGTTATATCTTTATTCCATTGAACATAATTCATTTTATCGTATATAGATTTGTATCTTTTTAGAATCTACAGTACATGTGATCTGAATATGAATTTATATTTTTTTTCAAAAGATATGAATTTACATGAGATGAATATTTAAAATTTTTGGAAATATATTATCTTGTCTCCATTGCAAACAAAAAATCTGTCCAATAAATTAACCCTTTACAGCCTGGATAGTATTATCATTTTGTAAAGTAGTTTATTCTTCAGCATATTGTTTTTCAACATAATGATCTGAAATGTTTTTCTGCTCTCATTCTTCACTATCTAGTAGACCCTATAAAGATTCAAAAGTGGTTTGTGTCATAAAAACCGAATGTAATCCTACTCCACTTGTTGAGAGATATAATAATTTTAACTTAATACTTATTTTTCATTTTTTAATATTACATAAAGTTTATTTGCATCGGCACATTTAAATTATGTTTTTACTCAGTGCAAACAAAAATTAATGAAATTATATAATAATATACATAAAAAATGAACAAAAATAGATCTTAAAAATAATTATATTTTGAATTAATACTCATCCTAATATTAAGAAGATATTAGAAAACCATTAATTATATTTAATGTTATATTACAAAAAAAAAAAATCATTCGGAATAAAAAAGAGAAAGAGAGAAAACAAAGATGACGCTGTGTTAACGCAGATTGCCCTTCTGCACTGAATAGTAAATTCAGTTGAAGCACACCAGTGAAACTGGAAACTGAGTTACTATGTTGTAAATATTTATTTCAGAAGTTTTATGACTGAACTGAAAATGAGAGTCGAAAATGTCATACGAAATTAGAACGTTTGCTGAATGGTGGTGATGTTTTTCATTGTTTTTGTTTCGTTGAATAAAATCATTATTAACAAATAATAATTTTCATTTAAGTCGAAGAAAATGCTGTTATAATTTTAAATTTATTTTAAATATTAAACCAATAAATTAAATTGTATAATTTAATATAATAATTAAAAATTTAGTCGACTGAATAAGAAAACTATAAACGTATAATATTTTTTCTGTCTGCTTTTTAGAAAAAAAAAAAAGTTATGCATTATCTATAGGTTATTTATACTAATTTAAACATTGGGCATCTTTCTTCTATGGGCATCTTTTTGTTCCAATTTTTTAGTATATATCTATCTTATTCTAATCTTGAAGCATCTCTTCCTTACTATATAATTACTGATTCTAAAGCATCTTTAATTCTGTCTTTACATTCTTTAGTAATCATTTCTTCAGATTATCTTTCATGTAGTATGTTATGTATTGGAATTACTAAATAAATATAGATTTATAAGCCTGAATATAAAAATGAATAATAAGTTAATTTATCTACATGATATTATGTAATACATTTTAGGATAAAAGTAATAATATTTCACATTTAAATGAAAATAACTAAAACTAAAAAAAAATTAATTTTAGATTTTCTCATTATTGATTACTTTCTCTTTACTTTTAATATAGCAAACATTTTGTTGTTCGAGAGAAATTAAAATGTAGAACACATTCAGATAAGAGCACATTATGCAATATTTATAATCATTACCACAGCGATACATAGATATTGTAAGTTTATTAATAATTAAAATGCTCTGCGCTCAAAATCAAGTGATACATCATCCATTGAGTAATTTATTGATAAGAAAAAGTAGCAGAAATATATTAATTACTTTAATTAAGTTGTCGAATGAGTGACTTTTCTGAAAGATCTTTTTTTAAAGATGAGATTTAAAGAATAAAATAGGATTCTTTTCGTTTGAAACTATTGATTGAAAGCAAATTTCCGCAGGTAACCAACCCGTCCCTGTGGCGCCTTTTGTATGTTACTTGGGTTAGAGTGATGAGTCAACTCTGTTCAAGCGATATTGTAAAGACACGAAATCAATGGCTCTTCTAGTTATTTCGCTTTATGAAAAACGCCACTAGTGATTTTAGCCTACTTCAAAAATCTAATATTATGTAATATTTTTAAAAAGTTTAAGAGTGGCGAGCTACAAAATTACCTCGAAATATTTATCGTACATAAAATTTACATGTATGTTGTGCTATTCAGTAAGAA